CCTCCCCCCACCGTGGGGGCACACCTTCCTGCACACGCGGCCCAGGGCCAGCACGCCCCAGAGCCAGGAGAAGCTGCTCTCTCCGGGTTGCGAGCCAGCCAGTCTGGCTGCAAGAGAAGAAAAGCATCACCAGGTGAGGGCAGGGCGTGTGGGTGGCTGGAAGAGGGGACAGGGAGGCCTCCCGGGGAGCTCTCTCCAAAGTCTTGGGATGAAGTCTGCCTTCGGACAAGAGACGGTAGCAAAACCTCAGGGTACAACTCAAAGCATTTGGAGAAGCAAAGGAGAAAGGAAGGCGGCGGCCTGTGTCTGCCCGGCCCTCTCCTACTCTGGGTGCGATTCGAACCCCCTCAGGCGAGATGTCCTGGGAGGCTGGGCAGGAAAACGGGTGGCTGGTCGCCAAGTCCTTCAGAGGAGAAGGTCCCACACACGACACTTCCGAGAGCAGGCCGAGGCCTGGGGGCGTGCTGATGTGATGGGCCCGGCTCCCTGGGTGAGGAGACAGTTCTAATGGGATGTCTAGGAGCCGCTGCCCGCTGCGTTCTGGGGTAGGATCACGGATTCCTGCTGTTTCGATGTACTTTTAAGTGAGATGTCCAAACTCTCTCCCCACTTAGGAATCTGAACATCCAGCAGCAACTCTGAACTCTCTAGATCTGCATTTAAACCTTGCTTAGGGAAAGGTGGGGAGGAGGTGAAATAGAAAAATATTCAAGCAGAGTATTGTCTACACATCCTAGGATGAATTCATTATTTGGCAAGATTGTTTTTCCTACATCATTATCACCTGAGTGCTTTTTTAATTAGCTAAAATGTTTTTACTTTTTAACTAAAAGCAAAGAGTATACAGTATACTTGAGTTATACTGAAGTTTCAACTTCATTTAAGAAAATAGGGCTGACTCAAAACTCAGTGCAAGTGGCAAAGCTGACCATTACTGTACAGTATCTGCAAGGAAAAACAAAACAAAACAAAAACAAACCCACGATGCTCAAAGCACACCACATGTGGTGGTGCCCAAACCAAACCGAACGAGAAAAAGGTCTGAAATAAAGCCTTGGAAAAAAGCTTCCAACATTGAATTCTGTCCATAAATAAGTACAAATTGGAATTGAACTGTGAAGCAAGAAAAATGACCATGTTAACAGTTACCAAACGAGTTCTAGCGTCAGAGACAAAAGAAGAGGAATGTCGGAACGTGTGCATGAGAAATGAAGCTTCCAGTTTTCAGATGAGAAAATTGAGGCATGCAGGACTTTTGCATATGGAGATATATATATATATTTTATATATTATATATAATATGTACAGTCTAGCTATAAAACTTTGATGTGTATAGAAGCTGTCTTCAATGAAAAAAATTGAACATTCAGAAGAAATTCCTGAGATAGGGTTTGTGACATGGGCCACTGAGAAAAAAAATCCGCGGTTGGGTCCCAGAGGTGTTATAGTCTATCCCTGTGAAGACTGAAATTGAGCCCCAGACAGACGGTGTCGCCACCGCCGTCTTCCTTGCCTGAGCAAGGGGTAGCACCATTGTGAAGGTAACTATCTATCGCTCTTGTTTGGAAAGAGGAGGAATACTTCGGAACAGTATTGCTGCTAAGACCGCTGTAGTGTGCACCAGACTTGAGCTTGGTTTCTTCGGGGCAACAGGCAAGCAGCGCCACGGCCGGCGGGAGGACCGGATGGGAGAGGCGGCTCACAGCCACTAGGTGTAATCTTTCCTGGGCTGCTCGTCCGTCGTGCACTTATCAGTCATTTCCTGGCAGAAGTCCACGGTCACCGTTTGGCTCCTGGCTTCCAGCGGAGGTCCTCTCTCGGAGAAGATTCCCGCGTCGGTGCCTTCCAGCCTCCTCCCGGGGGTACAGTTCTCGGAGGTGGCGTTGCTGGGTGCCCAGGGGGGGCCGGGGGGAGCCGCCCCCGGCTCCAAGCAGCAGGCTGCGCTTTCCCCCGCCGCGCACTGGGAGGCCGCCAGGTTCGGCTCCACAGCCAAGGGCGCGGGGCTAATACTGGAGGCTGTGGGGAGATCCATGGGTCTGAGGACGGGGCAGTACCGATGCAAGGCCTGGATCTGCTCAGGGCTCTGGATGTCTCGGCAGACTTCCTGGGAGAGGCAGGAGAAGTTGTCCAACAGCTCTCCCATGCACGCTTTCAGCTGATTCCTCTCCGACAGCAGTTTCTCTTTCTCACACACCTGGACAGTGGGGACAAAAAGAGAAGCTTCGGCTCAGACGCTGTGGGTGGGAGTGTCAGCGAGGTCAGGCTCGGTGGAACTTGGCATGAGGATTTCGCAGAGAACTCAGCGCAGAGCTACCCTTTGATCCAGCAATCCCGCTCTGTACCAGGGATCGACTCAAAGGAACAGAGGCAGGGCAACCCCTTCGGGTCCCCTCCCACCGTGGGAGCTTTTCTGTCCTCTCAATAAATCCTCTTTCTAAAAAAAATCCCCCAAAGCCAACCAAACAAACAACCCCCCAAACCAAAGGAAAGGCACTTGCACAATTCACGATCACAAAGATGTGGAAGCCACCGACACGCCCACCAACCAAGCAGTAGATCATGAAAATGTGGTATAGATACTTTGGAATACTCTGCAGCCATCAAAAAGAATGAAATAATGTCTTTGGCGGCAACTTGGATGGAACTGGAGAACATCACCCTAAGTGATCTAACTCAGGAACAGAAAACCAAACACTGCGTGTCCTCACTTACAAGTGGGAGGTAAACTAAGGACCTGCAAGGACATAGGGAATGACACCGTGGACACTGGAGACTCAGAAGGTGGAGAAGGGGAGAGGTGGTGCGATGAAAGACCATCCATCGGGTACCATGTGCATGGGCGGGGGCGGGGGGTATGCTTAAAGCCCAGACTTCTTCATGCAACCATGCAACCAACAACTACGTGTACCCCTAATGCTACTGAAGTAAAGATAGAGAGGGAGACAGATATGACAGAGAGAGAGAGAGAGAGAGAGAGAGAGAGAGAGAGAGAGAGAGACGTTTCAACCGAGCTTGAATTGGAGGACACAGGACCTCATTTCTGGGGTGTCCGGTCTTTGCTTCTTGAACGATACACACCCAGGGAGCCTGGACACATGTTTCTGCCAGGCCTCTGAGCAGCATCTTATTCCTCTCCTGGGCCTGGGGCAAGTAACCTGCAAAATCACCATTAACCAGGAAACTTTGGGTGGGGGGGAGGGTCAAAGTTCTGATTTCCTGGAATTTGGGGTTTGTAGAGAATTAACTGGAAGGGCACTCAGTTACAAATCTCATGGTTGAAAGTCTCCCCTAGATGCATGGAGTTGCCATTTTGGGAAGGGCTAAAATCCCCCAATTCCAACGAGATGACATTCCAAAAAAGGTAAACTCTCAAGACAGTGGAACGGGCTGTTTGTCAGGGGCCAAGGGAGGGTTGGGGAGGTGAAACACAGAGGACTGTGGGGCTGTGAAACTACTTGGGGTGATACCATAACGGGGGGTCTAAGCCAGTATACATGTGTCCAAACCCACAGCATGTACAATACCCAGAGTGAACCCTAATGTGGACCATGGACTTGGGTGATAATGATGTGTCAGTGTGGGTTTATCAGCTGTAACAAATGTCCCTCTCTATGGGGGATGCTAGTATGGGGGAGTTTTCATGTGTGGGGAGAGAAAGCAAATGGGAACTCTGTATTTTCTTTTTTGAGTTGGGGGTCTCACTCTGTCACCCAGGCTGGAGCGCAGTGGCTCACTGCAGCCTACACCTCCTGAATTCGGGCGATCCTTCCGCCTCAGCCTCCTGTGCAGCTGAGACTACAGGCACATGCCATCACCCCAGCTCATTTTGGGATTTTTGTTGTTGTTGTCATAGAGACAAGGTTTCACTATGTTGCCCAGGCTGGCTCATATTTCTGCGCTAAAACGATCCTCCCGCCTCGGCCTCTCCAAGTGCCGGGATTACAGGTATGAGTTGCTATGCCTGGCCTCTCTGGATTTTCTGTTTAATTGTGCTATGAACCTAAGACTCTCCTAAAAAGTCTATTAAAAAAACAAACAGAGGGGGAGTGACACAACATCAGTAAGGGTACCTGATCTCAAACCAGGCAAAGTGGAGGCCAAAGGGAAGCCCAAACTTTGCCTGTGCGACGGCCACTTGTACACCTAATCCTGAATGGGACCCCACGTCTTTAAAATAAAAACAAAAGTAAAAACGAAACAAAACAGACAACAAGCAAAAACCAGAAACTGACCACGCACAATCTCACATGGTTCAACCTAGCATCAGTGGCTCTGGTAGCGGAACAGCCCAGACGTGCCGGTCCTCTTTAGGACGGCGGGGGCATGTGCAGGGACTTCTGGGCCACGGATGTCCCCGGACGAGGGAAGGGGAGAAGGAAGCACAGAGGCCTCCTCACGCACGAGCCCAGGGTTCTGGGATGTTTAAGCCCCAATGTGCTCATCACCCCATCAGAAAGACAGATTGAGCACCAGAGGGAAGACGAGTTAAGGTCTTTGTCTTTGCATGAATATTTGTGGGAGGGGAGGACAGGGCTCCCCGAGGCTCATGAAATGGAGACGCTGGGTCGGGAGCAGCGTGAAGGGAGCCCTCGCCGACCCTGTGTCACGGTGGGCAGGAGGGGCGAGGAGAGGACGGGCATGAGGGTGCAGCGGAGAGGGAGGAAGACGCGATGGGCACGAGGATCGGGACAATGACACGGGGCCACCCGTGCCCCCACATGAACGCAACCTGGCTGGGGACCCGGGTGCGTGTGTCGGAGAGAGAGCGTCACGTGGGAAAGGGCGCCTGCTCCAATATTTATGACTTTATCAAGAAAACATGTTTGAAGAATGAAAAATAAACAGATGTCCAAGTGCAACTCGAGAGAAACATATTATGCGAGTTTGCAACAGCTGAGTGGCGGGCGTGTGAGAGACAGCCTGGGGGCGGGGCGGGCCCACAGGGCCTGCGGGGGACCAGGCAGGGTGGGACTGGGCCCCGCCTGCGCCGTCTCTGCCAGGGTGGCGAGTGGGCACGGTACCCCACCCCCCGAGGCGGACACGAAACAAAACACATCTGGAGGTCCTTTGGGGGAAGATGCTCTTACAGGCGTGGCAATGCAGCCAGGCCTCTCTCCTTTTCTTTTTCTTTTGAGTCAGGGTCTTACTCTGTTGCCCAGGCTGGAGTGCAGTGGCATGGCTGCGATGACCACGGCTCACAGCAGCCTCAACCTCCTGAGCTCAGGCGATCCTTCCACTTCAGCCTCCTGAGTAGCCGGGACCACAGGTGCACGCCACCATGCCTGGCTAGTTTTTTGATTCATTGTAGAGATGAGGTCTCGCCATGTTGCCCAGGCTGGTCTTGAACCCATGGGCTCAGGCAATCCTCTCGCCTCGGCCTCCCAAAGTGCTGGCATTAGTGTGAACCCCTATGCCCAACTCTCTCACCTTTTAACCTGGAAACCTGAGAGAGGAGGTGCGGCAGCAGTGCCTGGGCACTGGGGGAGGAATCTCGGGCTCACTTCTTTTTTTTTCTTTTTGAGTTGGAGACTCACTCTGTCACCCAGACTGGAGTGCAGTGGCCGCTCCCGGCCACCGCAGCCTCGACCTGCTGGGCTCCTGCGACCCTTCCGCCTCAGCCTCCCAAGTAGCTGGAACTACAGGCGCGTGCTACCACGCCCGGCTAATTTTTTGGATTTACTGTAGAGATGAGGTCTCGCCCAGTTGCCCAGGTGGGTCTCGAACCCGCGGGCTCAGGCAATCCACTCACCTCAGCCTCCCAAAGCGTGGGATTACAGGCTGAGCCACCGAGCCCGGCTTCAGGCTCACTTCTGCCACATCATCTTGGCCAAGGCACCGGCCCCTCTAGGCCTGCTCATCTGTTAGATATTCTGGGTCGCCCTCCAAGGGGAAGGAAATGAGGGGCCACGTGTGAGTTTCAGCTCTCTGCAGGAAAGGCGGGAGAAATCACGCCTTGGTCAAAAGCAAGACGCTCTAAGCCACTGATGAACACCGATGAGCACCTGGAACTCTCATTCAGCATCTTTTTATTATTTCAAAACATTTTAGGCCAGGCACAGTGGCTCATGCCTATAATCCTAGCACTTTGGGAGGCTCAGGTTCGAGACCTGCCTGGGCAACTTGGCGAGACTTCGTCTCTACAATAAACTAAAAAAAAAAATTAGCCAGGCGTGGCAGCGCGTGCCTGTCATTCCAGCTACTCGGAAGGCTGAGGCGGAAGGATCGCCGGAGCCCAGCAGGGCGAGGCTGTGGTGGCCGGGAGCGTGCCGCTGCACTCCAGTCTGGGCAACAGAGTGAGACTCTGACTCAAACAAATACACAGAAACAAAAAAAGAAAGAAGAAACTCATAATCCCCTGATCTGAAAAGTCCCAATTTCCAGTCAATTTTAGGGCAACAGGACATTTCCTGAGAGCCAGTTGTGGGCCCAACACCTGGTACTCAGAGATGCAGAAGACTCTGTCCTCGTTTATGGAACCCACAGTCTAGGGCCAGAGGCAGGGGAGACAGACACACACACAGGAAACTCAGGACTAGGTGACAGGTGCTGAGCCAGAGGTTCGCTGGGGATTCCCAGTATAGGTGCCCAACCTGACAGTGGACTCAGGAAAGGCAGGTTTCCTGGAGAGGCGACAAGTAACCGGATTCTCTGAGAACAAAGGAGACAGAGACACTCCAGGCCGGAGTGTGACAGCATGATCACAGCTTACCACAGCCTCCACCTCCTAGGCTTAAGTGATCCTTCCTCCTCAGCCTCCCAAGTAGCTGGAACTACAGGTGCACATCACCACACCCAGCTAATTTTATTTTTAATTTTTTTTTTTGAGAAAGCAGGATTTATTGAGAGGACAGAAAAGCTCCCACAGTGGGAAGGGACTCCAAAAAAAAAAAAAAAAGGATCAAAACCAGAAGCAGATATTTAGCCTGCTGGTCCTTTTTCTAATATTTTTTGGAGGGGAGATTGGAGTCTCACTCTGTCACTGAAGCTGGAGTGTAGGGGCAGGGTCACCACGGCCTTGAACTCCTGGGTTCATGTGTTTCTTCTGCCTCAGTCTCCCATGTGGCTGAGACTCTAAGCACGTGCCACCACACCCAGCTAATTTTTATTTTTAAAACTTTTTATTAAAGATGTAAAAATAAATTAAATTTTCTGTAGAGATGAGGTCTTGCCATGTTGCCGAGGCTGGTCTCGAACTCCTGGGCTCAAGCGATCCTCCTGCCTTGGCCTCTCATAATGCCAGGATTACAGGCGTGAGCCACCGTGCCCAGCCATTCAGGGCTATTTTTATAACATATAACATTTCCACTTCAAAATAGATGGCCAGAGTGGTGGCTCACACCTGTAATCCCAGCACCATGGGATGCCAAGTTGAAAGGATTGCTTGAGCCCAGGAGTTTGAGACCAGTCTGGGCAACATAGCAGGACCCCATCCCTACAAAAAAAAAAAAAAAAAAAAATTAGCCAGGTATGGTGGTGCACGCCTGTAGTCCCAGCTACTCAGGAGGTTGAAGTGGATGGATTGTCTGAGGTGGATGGGATCGAGTCTACTATGAGCTGTGATCATTATGATCTTGACACTGCAATCCAATCTGGGTGACAGAGTGAGACCCCAACTCAAAAAACACAAAAAACGCAACTTAGAACCAGACACCTGGGTTTGCATTCAAGTTCTACCGAGTACTAGGACGTTACCTAATCTCTACAGTGTCAACTTCTCCTCTGTAAATGGAGATAAAATGGTAACTAAGTCATAAGGTTAATGTAAGGATTAAATGTGATCACCCACAAGGATAGTTTAGAAGTATACCTGGTCCATAGGCTCAGGCAATACATATCAGCTATTATTATATGTTGAATGAAAATAAAAAAAAATTTACCCCAGAAGAATGGCTGAAGAATATACAATACTGACACATGATTACACACCTGCATGGATACACACACTGCAGATGTAAAGTTATTATTTTTGTTGAGTAACTTGTTTAAAAATAAAGCTGGCTGGGTAAGGTGGCTCACACCTGTAATCCTGGCACTTTGGGAGGCCAAGTCTGGTGGATTGCTTGAGCCCAGAAGTTTGAGAGCAGCCTGAGCAACATAGCAAAATCTTGACTCTACATAAAACCAAAGATTAGCTGGGTGTGGTGGCGCATGACTGTAGTCCCAGGTACTCAGGATGCTGAAGTGGAAGGATAACTTGAACCCAGGACGTCGAGGCTGCCGTGAGCTTGATCATTGTGGTCATGCTGCTGCCCTCCAGCCTGGGCGACAGAGTGAGACCCCGGCTCAAAAAACAAAACAAAACAAAAACCCTGAAACCCAAACTTCCCTGAACACAGATGCTAAAACTTTCAACAAGACCCTAGCCAATCAGATCCAACAACACATCTCAAAAATCATCCACCATGACCAAGTAGGCTTCATCCCTGGAATTCAAGGCTGGTTCAACATTCGTAAGACCATAAATGTAATTAAATACATCCAGAGATGTAAAAACAAAAAAGCTACAAGATTATATCATTAGATGTGGAAAAAGCTTTCGACAAAATCCAGCACTCCTTCTTGATAAAAACCCTCAAACATCTAGGCATAGATGGAACATACCTCAAAATACTAAGAGCCATCTACAAGAAACCCACAGCCAGCATACTGCTAACCAGACAGAAATTGGAATCATTTCCCGTGAAAACCAGAACAAGACCCTTCTCGCTACTTCTCCAGTCTTCACTGCTGTAACTTTACCAAGTCTCGACCACTTGAGTTGCTGATCGCCATGGACGGGGTCAACTCACCAATTTGCGGATTTCACATTCTAGGTTCTGAATACAGTCCAGCTTCCTCTTGCGGCAGCGCTGGGCCGCGATGCGGTTCTTGCTGCGCCGCCGGACGTCGTGAATGAACTCGAGCTGTTCTGAGGTTAGCTTGTGCATCTTAATCATCATCTGGAAATCGTTCCTTGGTAGATCTGTGATCTGGTCTACGGGAAAAGGAAGTTTGACCTGAAAGCAAGAATAACCGAGTATGATTATGGCAGCTGGATTTTCATTTTAATTCTGGCTGGTAGAACATCGAAAAATGGTAAGACCTCTTTTTTAAGATGACCAAGTAATATGGAAACCACGAAAAGCAAGCAGTGATTCATCCTTTCCTGTTAAACACAAATAAAATGCACTATTTGGATAATCAAGCAGAATAAGAACACACAGATTGTAATGTTATCATTCCTGAGTTTTGAAGCAAATGGCATGGCAAATATTGAACAACGGTCACTTTTCGTTGTCGTGGCACCTTTATAAGAAGGACTCTATAGTTCCTTGAAATCTGTTTCCATAAGACATAAAGTCTAACTCAATAAAACAAGTTCTTGGAAGATAGCGTCAGAGCACTTAGCTAACATACTTGAATGATGGGTGCCCTGCATATTTTGAAGATGCTGGAAAGAAGTCTGGGTAACACAGTGAGTACCCATCTCTACAAAAAAGTAAAAACATTAGCTGGCTATGGTGGTACACTCCAGTAGTCTCAGCTACTCAGGAGGCTGAGGTGGAAGGATCACCTGAGCCCTGGAGTTTGAGGCTACGGTGAGCTGTGACTGCACCCCAGCCTGGGCAATAGAATGAGAGCCTGTCTCAAAAGAAGCGAAAAAAAGGAGCGGCAACCAGTGAGGAGGGGTGCATGCAAAAGCCCTAGTACAGCAGGTGGGAAGCGAACCAAGACTCTGTCTAGGTCCTCCCCAGCATCCCTTAAGTGGAGAACACAGGTTTGTGCGTTGAGTGGCTTGTTACCACCCTTTCCAAGGCTCTTCCTGATCACGCAGGGGCTTTTGGGCTTTGTTCTCTCCCTGCTTCTGGTGTCCCTGGAGAAAGAACACCTGGCTGCATGTTGCCAGGCCAATAGACAAAGTGCTTCCTAGCTCAAACTGCATAATTCTTCATTTTCATTTTTTTTTTTTGAGTTGGAGTCTCACTCTGCCGCCCAGGCTAGAATGCCGTGGCACACTCGTGGCCACCCTGGCGTCGACCTGCTGGGCTTTGGCGACCCTTCCGCCTCAGCCTTCCAAGTAGCCAGAACTACAAGCACGCTACCACGCCCAGCTAAGTTTTGATTTATTGTAGAGACGAGGTCTCGCCAAGTTGCCCGGGCTGGTCTCAAACCCATGGGCTCAGGCAACGCACTAGCCTTGGCCTCCCAAAGTGCTGGGATTACAGGCTGAGCCACCGATCCTGGCCTGTTTTTATTTTTTGAGTCGCAGTCTCATTCTGTCATCCAGGCTGGAGTGCAGCAGCACAGTCACGAATCACTGCAGCCTTGACCTCCTTGGACTCAGGTGATCCTTCCACCTCAGCCTCCCAAGTAGCTGAGACTACAGGCACTCACCAGCACACCTGGCCAATTTAATGTTTTGTAGCAACCAGAGCTTGCTATGTTGTCCAGGGTGGTTTTGAACTCCTGGGCTCAAGCAAACCTCCCACCTCAGCCTCCCAAAGTACTGAGACTACGGGCATGAGCCGCCACACCTGGCACCAATTGCATCATTCTTGCTTACGAGCGAGTCTGCTTTAAATGGCCAGCAGAGGGCACTACCAACCTAAACTTCCAAAACCACCACCATCCGCAACCCAGCGACTTCACATTTTTCAGTTGTCACACGAAAAGCAGCAAGAAGAAACAGGTGAAGTGACTTTGAAGAATGCATGTTATTTAACCCGACAGAAAAAATATTTCCATCATGTAATTAATATAACATTAGTAATGAGCTATTTTACATTTTGGGGTGCTGATTTTTCAAAATCCCAAAGTGCGTTTTATCCTTAGGGCACAGCACGATTCAACTAGCTGCATTTCAGGGGTGCGCCAGCCACGGGCAACATGGGACGACTTTCTTGGACAGCGTACCTTCAGAAGACACAACGAACAGACGCAGTGAACCCGAGGAGCCAGAAAAACACATGGCCTGGGTTTAACGGGTCAAAATAGTTTTGGGTAGAGAAGCCAACCCCTTGCTGGTATTCAGATGCTGCAGGGCTACATGTGTGTTCTTTGGGGGGGGGTAAGCAGCTATTTCATCCTGGTTCAGGCCTTTTCTTCGGTTGCATCCACCACAGGCAGATGTGAGCCCTGACCCTGGCATGTGTGGCAAGTTAATCCCCACGCACATAGGCAAACACACTCATGACCGCCCAGCTTGTCTGCAATTGGGAGCAATTTCTTCGTTGGGTCCCTTCAGAGCTCTGAGCCTGCTCAGTGTGGCATTTACCAAAGGTTCCCGATGGGTTCTCTGATTCAACTTCCACAGGGTGAACTCTGTCCCGTGACACCTGCACCGCTTTGGTCCAAGAAAGCAAAATCGCAGCAGGGTACACGACACCACTGTCAACTCGGCCCTGTCCCGACCGCTGAAGACAGGCAGCCAGGACAAACAGCTCCTTGTTATAGGCTCGGGAAAGGCCTTTGTCTGTGGGGCTCGGTTTGCACAGGGCTTATAATGATATGAAAGAATGTTTGATTTCCCTTTTATACCCTTTGGATAACAAACAGACACTCAGATCCTGGATGGTGCTGCAGTAACACAGAGAGGTCTGTCTGTAGGCGACAAGGATGTTTCGACATAGAAGTGGTGGCTCTTTTGGGGCTGGTGGAGTTTTCACTCTGCTGACAACAAAGCCCTGCTGCCTCCGCTCTAAAGGTGTTTACTTATTTTCAGAAAGAAAATATATACATTTTGGGCCACAGGGAAAGTCGAAAGTGCTTCTATACCCAGAGTTACTGTATTTAAAATTATCCAGACAGCAAATATAAAACACTAGGGAGACGGGACAGGGTTGCCAGGAAAAGAGAAAAATCAACAATGCTAGTTTCAAAGTCCTTGAAAGCAAAAGGCCATATAAAATTTCAGCAGAGCTGTTGCAACTCTAGCTGCTTTTCGGAGAGGATCAGAGGAAAAGAGTCAATGACAGACTTTCCTCCATGTGGAAAAAAACAAAACCAAACCCCACTCTTGTTTCTCTTTACAAGCCTCTGTTCCTCCTCTTAGCATGGGAGGACTTCATGTAGACGGCTGCGCAGGACCTCCGAGGTGTTCTTGGATAGGCCACTGGGACCCTCTATATATCCCCGTGTTGTTTTCTGAGTGGTCAGTTATGGGCCAGGGGAGTCTTCCTTGGGAATAAGGGACAGCCACCGGCCCTTTGGTCCCTTGAAGAACATTCCTCTTGTAGGCTCTGGGTACCCAGACACGTCCCAAGTGGGAATGAAAAGTCAGATAATGCCACTTGTCCTTGGGAAGGTGGAACACACCGAGGAGGTCAATAATCCTCCCTCTCTTCTGGAGAATTACCATGACCCAAATGGCCCAGCTGGATTTAACATCTTGGGGGTGGGGGAGGCAAAAACATCCTGGAATTTATAAAAAATTGTGCATTTGTTCTTTTTTTTGAGTCGGAGTCTCACTCTGTCACCCAGACCGGAGCGCAGTGGCCGCTCCCGGCCCCCGCAGCCTCGACCCGCGGGGCTCCGGCCATCCTTCCGCCTCAGCCTCCCGAGGAGCCGGAACTACAGGCGCGCGCTACCATGCCCGGCTGAGTTTTTGATTTATTGTAGAGATGAGGTCTCGCCCAGTTGCCCAGGTGGGTCTCGAACCCACGGGCTCAGGCCATCCACTCACCTCGGCCTCCCAAGGCGCAGGATGACAGGCTGAGCCACCGAGCCCGGCCGCATTTGTTCTTGTATGTGCAAACTTCAGTCATCTTCAAAGTACTCTCCGGGATGTTTTTTCCACTGCCCAAAACAGTTTTTGAACTCATAGATTTTGATGCCTTTCAGTGCTTCTGCCATTTTTGGTTTCACCTCTTCCACGTCGGCAAAACGCTTCCCTTTGAGGACTTTTTTCATCCAGGGAGACAAACAAAAGTCATTCATGGCAAGATCGAGTGAAGAGGGAAGGTGGGACCCTGGGATCATGCCATTTGGGGCCAAAAACAGTTGAACACTCAGTGCGGTGCGGCAGGCGCGTTCATAAATCACCCATCATGAAATAGGCAAATGTGTTGAAAGAACCTCCAAAAAAGACTCACTGAAGGCGACCACAGCCTCTCACAACAACGCTAGCTGGTCCACTGATGCCAACGGGTTCCTAGAACTCTCTCCTAGTGGGGGAAGCCTGTCCTCCAAGGGACCCTCCCTCCAAAAAATAATCCCGAGATTTTTTGGGTTCCCCTTGTGTGTCCTGTTCCTCCATACACTTATTCTCCCAGGACTTCGCTTGCTGGTCTTTATTCACGGGACCCTCCTAGACAGTGTGGAAAACCCAGCCTGGCAAGGTGAAGGGTCCTGCCAGCTGTCACCACCCCTTTTGGAACGGCCTTCGATTATCCTCAGTAAGGAGGAGGGCTCATGGGACTGTGGGTGCCGGCTCCTCTTCGGCCAGGGGCCCCCGCTCTGGTTCTCAGCAGAAGCTCAGAGAGTCAGGGGCAGCCACTGACTCAGCAAGCCAAGGGTCAATCTGGGCCCCACAGGCCGGTGCCACCGTTTGTACAATAAGCTACTGTTGATTTTACCCAGCCCCAGCAAAGTGCTGACTCGGAGACACAGCGGGAGGAACGGGCTCGAGGTGGGGTTTTGAGCACCGTACTTGCAAGGCCCTGATCAGCAAAAAGTCAAGGGGGCCTAGACTGCCTGGGGGCTCCAGCTCCTTAGCAGCTGGTGAGACGGGCGGTCCCTGCAGTGTGCCCAGCGGGCTCTGACCTCAGAAGCTGGCAAAAGGCAGGAAGATGCGACATCTGTACAGGGCATGAAACCGGAATGTGCCTTCTGAAGAGCCATGTGCATGAACCAGATGGAGGCCCGGAGCTGCAGGCTGGACTCTGGACACCAGCGTTTCTACCTTCACAAACAGATGTCAGTTTTTCTGTTTCTCTCCTCTGCCAACCACCACCCTCGTCCAGCAGTCTAAGCCATCATCCCTGTCCTCCCCACTAAAAAACCATTTAAAAATTATATA